TGGCGTCCCCATACTGCGTTTAATCTCAGCGAAATCGTGACAGCAAGAATGAGCACGGCATGAATTATCGTCTGCACAAGTTTCACAAACGAAAGTTAGGAAACATGAAATTGATGATTATGTCGTGTGTTTATGGCATGAAATGAAGGGATTAACTAATGATACTTAAAAAAAAAATAAAGAAAAAAAGAAACAGTTACTTGCCTGAGAACTTGTAAGAATTGTTGGGAGTTCCATAAAGTTTACAGTTTTGTGAATATATGTGAATATTGGTTGCCAAAAGGGCATATATTTATATATGAATGTTAATCTCGTGAAAGAATGTGGAGCACTTTCTTAGCCATAATTTAATTTAAATTTCAACTACTCACATTTGTGTCACATTCACGAAAAGATTTTACGAAGTAGCTTTTTTTAGTTTCATTACGGAAATTATTCTGTCGGAGTTTGTAACCGTTAGATTAACTATCTATGACGGTTATGTGATGATCTAACAATTACATTCCTACGGAATAACTGGGACTCTAGCATTTTTATATAACTTATAAATTGCTAACTTTAACTAGAATTAGAAAGTGTGGTGAGGCTCTCCCTTATTCTGTTTGTAGCAAGAAAACGGGTCACGGTTACACACCATTGTCAACAATTGACCTAAATATGTACATTTTTGGCAATCTATTATTTTGTGGAAAAATATAAGTGCCAAAAAAATTCTCGTGGTACCTAATTATTGGGTTTTTATATTTTCATTTCATTTATCATCGTTACTAATTATAAATTACTATAATTAGTATAACCCATAAAAAGTAGGTACACAAAAGTAGTGAAAAATACATTTAGGTAATTAAATGATAGTATATTGAATTGTTATACAGTATATTGAATTATTATTATTATTATTATTATTATTATTATTATTATTATTATTATTATTATTATTATTATTATTATTATTATTATTATTTTAGTATATTGAATTTTTTCTCAAAGTGAATCGCACGTTGCCCGCACTTAGAAGGGAAGGCAATTGTGGAGTGTACGTATTCGGATTTAGGTTGTCCCCAAGATAGGTGCATTGTAGAGTATCCACTATAAAATTTTGAAACTTTTTATTTAATTACTAGTACAACGCTCGTGTATTACACGGGTGCTTGCTAATTTTATTCTTAAAATCTAAAATTAATGAGAAAAAAGTAGTTGAAAATTTAAATACATTTTATAAAGAAAAGTATATATTATAATTTATTTAGCCCTTGTTTGCTTTTTGGGATGGGATTGGACTAATTTAGTCCAACTGGATAGGATTGTACTGTTGGGATTGGACTAATCCTATGTTTGTTATATAGAATAAGGAGTAGGATAAGTTTAGATTAAAAATAAAAATAAAAAATGTGTAGATGGTGTAAAATACTTTTATACCCCTTTCTATTAGACCAAAAACCATTCTTCCCCAATTCTCCCACCACAAAAATCGAAACAGTTTTGGTGATGTCATTTTACACCCTTCTCTTGAGAAGTGGATTGAGCAGCTGGCAAGTGCAACAGCAAATACAAAAGCCCATCAGGCACCGTTCAGAAACATGCTCTTTTATGGGCCACCAGGAACAGAAAAAACCATGGCTGCTAGGAAGCTTGCCCGTAAATATGTGTGACATCATAACCTTTTTCTTCTCATAGGACTTTAGTTAATATAATTGATTGGATAAATATTTGTCTGCATGCTTAGCAAAAGTATTTGGAAAAGCAGAAAATCCTATCTTGGGAAAATAATTGTTTCGTTTATGTTGAAGGATCCAAATAATGAATTATAGGGAAGGTCAAAACTGTCCAAAAATTATTAAAACAAGGGTAAATTCGACTTTAGATCCGTAGGATTGGATTAATCCCATGTAAATGAAGGGATTAAATTATCCTGATTTCATGGGATAATTCACTTTTTTATACCGGGCCTAGCCAATCCTGCGGGCTTTAGTCCAGCGAACCAAACACAGGATTAGGCCAGGATTAGGTAGGATATCCTGGCTAATCCTACAAAACAAACAGGGGCTTAGTACTTTGTGCGACTTACATATGTTATATTATAATAATTTTTTTAACTTACAACATATAACTACATTAAACATAATATATGAATTGAAAAATAATTTTATTTTTCTAACGAATTTTAATAAATATTATTAGTTTTTATTATTATAAAGATAAATATAATTATTTATTTCATATATACAATATGAATTTCAAATCGAAGATCATCAAAAGATGATTAATTTGATATATTACATATGCAAAATCGATATAAAATACAAAAGTTATCAACTTTTAAAATACATTTACAATTCAATAGTTAATTGAAGGAAACAAATCAAAAGTCAGGGATATATTAGTCACTTAGTGTCTCACTATGTAAAATTACAAAGAATTAAAGGGTTATATTAGTACAAGTGATAATAAAATACCTAAGTTAGCTAAATAATATTTATGGAATGTCCGAACATAGATTATTAATTATTAATATATCAATATTATTTGTTCAAACTTAATTACAAAGCATTATTTTTTGCCAAATAAGATTTCGAAGCACCGTGCTCAACGCATTTGGGAATTATATATACGGGGACAGGGATAACCCATTTTATTTGTCTTATATCTGGCCATTATTTTTTTGGGAAATTTGTGAAGGGACGATTCACTATTATAAAACCTTTTTCTTCAGATTTAGATCTAATAATAAAGGAAGTAATAAATTTGTAAAAACCTCCTCAAGTAATTAAACAATACCTACACGATTGTTAAATGATAAATTTATAGTGAATTTTTTTCAAAAAAAAAAAAAAA